TTTTTATAATGTGCATATGGGTTATAATGTGTGAATGCATTTTTATAATGGTATATGGGTTATAATGTGTGAATGAGTTGTTTATAATGTGTATATGGGTTATAATGTGTGAATGAGTTTTTATAATGGTATATGGGTTATAATGTGTGAATGAGTTTTTATAATATACATATGGGTTATAGTGTGTGAATGAGTTTTTATAATGTGTATATGGGTTATAATGTGTGAATGAGTTTTTATAATGTGTATATGGGTTATAATGTGTGAATGAGTTTTTATAATGTGTATATGGGTTATAATGTGTGAATGAGTTTTTATGTGTATATGGGTTATAATGTGTGAATGAGTTTTTATAATGTGTATATGGGTTATAGTGTGTGAATGAGTTTTTATAATGTGTATATGGGTTATAAAGTGTGAATGAGTTTTTATAATGTGTATATGGGTTATAATGTGTGAATGAGTTTTTATAATGTGTATATAGGTTATAATGTGTGAATGAGTTTTTATAATGTGTATATAGGTTATAATGTGTGAATGAGTTGTCCCAGTTGTGCCCAAAACAATTAAACTCGTATAAAAACGCAACAGTCTTCTTGTGATCCTGGGGGCTGCCATCTTGTCTTAGACTTTAACTATCATGACCTATCAAGTTCGGCAGTCTTCGTAGATCTTCGTACACGTTCGAAAAGCAGAGATTTAATAACCTTCTGAATAATTTGGATCTATATGCAAATAAATGGAGACTAAAAGTTAATAATGATAAATCTAAAGTAATGGTATTTAGGCGTGGGGTTAGATTGAAATCAACTGAGCAATGGTGGCTTGCAGGACATAAACTAGAAGCTGTTTCTTATTATAATTATTTGGGTATAGTATTGTCGAGTTCTGGGCTTTGGAACTATGCCCAGTCTAGTTTGACCAAAAAAACGTCAGGATCGTTGTTTGCGATTAAGAAAAGTATTTCGCAATTTGACGGTATTGATGTAAATATTGCATTTAAAATCTTTGATGGTAAAATCCTACCAATTTTAATGTACGCTAGCGAAGTCTGGGGCTTTCACAATGGCAATCAAGTTGAAATTATACAAAACAAATTCTGTCGACTTATACTGAAAGTATATCATAATGCACCAAAT